TAGCTTTGATACACTGTAAGTACAGCAGAGAGAACTAACAGTTAAAAATTAACCTGCTTTCATAAATATGGAAACAGAGGCCCCTAGTGTTTAAGTGACTTGACCATAAAGTGTGAACATCTAAAAAGGGACAAAGATGACAGTTAAATTTTGCTAAGGTAACCTGATGGTGGGGTTAATAATTTTCTGTTTGGGCAATGAAATACCTTACAAAAAGATCTGTGTAGCATGTGATGGAACAAGGATTCAAACTGACCCCAAAGGCTGGTAAACACTATATGTACATTGTCTCACTGTAGATATTGTTACTCCATTTTAAGGTGAACTAAAAATGGGCCCCAAACCACACAGGTCTTAAATGGAGAAACTGAGATTGATGTGGCTTGGGGATTGTAGCCCCATGGTAGGGTGCCTGCCTAGCATGTGTGAGGCCCTGGGTTCAAACCTCAGTACTGCCCACAGCTGGGCAAAGTGGTTCATTCCTATGATCCAGTACTCAGGCTGAGACAAGGAATGGGGGTGGGGGTTTCTGTGGGTTCCAGACCAGTCTGGACTGTAGAATGAGACTCTATCTCAAAAAAATAAATAGTCCAGTCACATGGCTCAGTGGATAAAGGTATTTGCCACCAAGCCCAACAACCTGAGTTTGATCCCTAGAACCCCACATGATGGCAGGAGAGAACCGAGTCCCACAAGCTGTCCTCTGTTCTACACACATATATGCACTGTGGCACAAGTATGCATACACACACACACACACACACACACACACACACACACACTAAATAAAATGTAAAAAAAGTTTGGCAGATATAGCTCAGTGGTAAAGTACTTGCCTAGAATGCTTAAAGCCCCAGGTTCAGTTTTCATTGAAAAAGAAGAGAAGAGAAGAGAAGAGAAGAGAAGAGAAGAGAAGAGAAGAGAAGAGAAGAGAAGAGAAGAGAAGAGAAGAGAGATCCAGTAGTCTGGGCTGAGACTGTATCTCCATGGTAGTACATGTGCCTGGTGATGTTTGAAAGACTCTGGATTCCGTCTCTAACACCAAAGGGGTGAGGGAATGGGGAAGAAAGGAAAAGAAAAATATGAGAAGGAAAACCACAGGTGTACGCGCTGGCTTTCCGGCCAGTGTACAATTCCTGTTTGTTTGCTTCCTTTTCCTGTTTCTTCATTCACCTTCATTTCCAGCCTACGTGGCATCCTTGCCTTATTAGTAGTCAAGCGCCTTACCTTGAATGGTGGTTTCTTTGTTTGTTCCTGCCAGGGGAGCACCTCCTTGGTCTAACTGTGGATTAAAAACAATGGACAAGTAAGTGACAAGTGCTGAAGATCAGTAAAACACAAGTAGGGCTCCTGGTGGTGTTCTCATCTTTCACACCCAAGAAGTAAATTAGGAAGGCATGTTTGTCACTAGGGGGCAGAGTTCAGCTCAGCGCAGAAGGAAGGTTACCTACCAGGAGCACAGTGTGCGTCAGTCCAGACATTTATTGAGCATCTGCACCTGCCAAACACTGTGTTCAGACAGGAGGTAAAGAGAAAAAGGATGCAACCTCCGCTCAAAATAGCAGAGCGATAGATAGCGTGTAAATAAAGTGCAGGCAGGTCACAGCACCCACATGGTCTCACACCTACTTGAAAATGGGTCTACTTCCACAGTTTGTAAGCAAGTGCTTGCTGTAGTATGCACCCAATGAATGCAGTTTTCACTGATGAGATGCATGCTGTATTTGAAGATCGGTTTAAGATAGATCAGCAGATGCTTTAATAAAAATAACTTCTCTTGATTGATAGTTCTGTGACAGGAACTGTTTCTAAAACTCGTTTCGTCCTTTTATCATTCATCAGTTAGTTACTCAAACTTCCATTTTAAGAAATGAGGGAAAAGGAATGAATAGCGATTGAGTACCTTGCAGAAAACTTGGTTGAAAGGAGAGAACTGGAAGAAAAGTCTAGGGGAGGATCTAATTCTCCATCAGGGGAGAGGATGGGAAAGGACACCAGCGGACGAACATGCTGGGTGTCATCCTTGGGCTGTCCAAAGTGTCGGGAGCCTGCATAAGAGGAGGCAGGGTAGAAAAGCTATTCACCTTGATGCCCACCACGATTCCCTTTTCTTTGAGGATGTCTCTGAACAGCTTTCCCTGGCTGTCCTTCTGGTACAGTGTCTCGTGGAAAAGGATCACTCCTCCAATGCTCTGGTTGATGGAATTATCCACAGTGAAGAGGATTTCTCGGAACTGCCTGCGGTTCTCTTCGGTGTTTTCCACTTTGATCCTTTGCAGGCGGTTTCCCATGGTGCCTAGAGGGTCAGGCAAAAGGCAGCATGGGGAGGAGTAAGCCAGGGCTTTCCTGTGGCCTTTGCACCCAGTCATCAGGGTGGAGAGCAAAGGCCCCCTCCCTCGACTCTCCCTTTAAATTCGGATCTTCATACTTCCTGTTTGGTTTTTGGTCTTCAAATGAGAAGACTTTAGTTATTGTCAGACTGCTACTGGCTGAGAGGTATACAGGCTGCCATGAAGGGGTCATGGTGGCTATGGAAAGCCCTCAGGCCTGTCTAGCCCTCTCCTGCTCCTGTCCTCAATCTCACTGGCTGTACATCAGTGGAAGGAGGGATGGGGCAGCTCTTGACTTTAGTTCCTATTGTTTTAGGGTGGGCTGTGCTAGCCTGTTATAGCTCTGCCCTGCACCACCCTGGGATTTCCTCAGCCACAAGCTCTATCCTAGTCCAGGTGCCTCCCTCACTAGAGCCTAAAGTGATTTCTCATTAGCAGCAGAATGCTACATTGATGATGTCATCTTTATTATTGAATTCTTGGCTTGCTACAGGCCATATTCAAATGACTCAAGCTCTAACATTGAGAATTTGAGCCTTTCCCCTCGATATTCTGGAATCTGCCTATTGAGACTATAAGACTCAAAATTCCTTTACTCACTGCGTATGAATAAATAAACCTTTACTTCCTCCAAGAGGGAAGAGGATGATCATCAAGATACCTTTGCCAGGCATAGAAACACGTGAATGCTGTTGTGTGATATGAGTTTCTCACACTCACCTACAGATTCATCTGCAGCCAAGATGCCCTTCCCATTGGCAACAATGCGCTGGGCAATTTCTGAGAGCTCCTTCTTCTGGTCTGCGGTGAGGGCTGGAAATCGGTGGGCCATGGTGACAGGTCTGGAAGAGAATGTAGAACTGAGCTATGGGTGACTCCAATGGATTGAGCAAGACAGTTGGGGTGTATAGATGAACTGTGTAGGCCCTTCAGATACTTTTGGTCCATTTCCAATGAGCTTGCTCATGTTCCCTTTGCCTAAGAGTCTGCGGAATTCTGGTCCTTGGACAGGACTCCCATATTAAACCTCACCCCCCCCAGGGCTCAGGGACCATTGCAGAAGAGGGGGCAGAAAGATTGTAAGAGCCAGGGAAAAGGTGCATGACTATATGTAAATAGAGTCCTACAGGCTCCTGGAACCCTGCTCATATGAATCTACAGCAATGGTATCAGTGTACACAAGTCCCATGCAAACTCAAAACCGAGCATAGAACTGGGAAAATGGACAGCAGACCCCAATCTTAGAAGAAGAAATATTGACAACTGATTACTGCTGGATGAAGAAGAGCTGATCTTAACATGAGGGACTCTAGATAGGGTGACTAGACCTCAATAGATGAACTTGCACTGAGGGACGTCTGGGGACACTGACTTGACACAATAGGCTTTAACACAAATGATAGAATGTATGAACTCCAATAAGGTCCATGGGAGGGTGCCAGTGGGGAAGGAGGTATAAAGATGATTAAGATGTTCTGATGAAATACAAAAAAATTCAATAACAACCTCCAGTGTACCTTGGTCTGTGAGTTATTATACCCAGATATCCTCAGTTTATAAATATCGAACACATTCGTACAGAGAATTGGTGCTAGTACATCAGACAAACCTGGCTAATGACCAGCTCTGCCTCCCTAGCTAGAAATTTGGTAAATCAGACAATTTCTCCGAGTCTTAGTTCACTATTAATTGACAATAATATCTAATCTGGTTGTCTGACAAAGTGACACATGCAACTTCTGAGTTTTGTGGTTGATAAAATGTCAGGTTGCTGAATCCATGATAAGTACTAAGATGTTTCATAAAGCATAGGAAAATGCAAGGTATTACTATTTACCTGTTTTCAATTTTTTTGATCTTTTTGAGACAAGGTCTCCTTGTAACCACAGCTGGCCTAGAACTCATTGTGTAGACTAGGCTAGCCTCCATCTCACAAAAATCTGCCTGCTTTTGCCTCCTGAGTGCTGGGACTAAAGGTGTATACCACCACACCAGGCTATTTATCTGTGTTTTAACTTTTGTAAAACAAACAACCTAAAGAGCCTCCATGTTTCTGTTTACTACCAAGCTATTTTCTTCATTCTGGGCATGCTGACTCAACAAAAATTACAGGGGAAAGTCAAGTCAAACTCATCTTGTTTACAGGAAGTTAAATTTCTACAGAGGGACTAAAGGTCTGTAACACATCAGCACAAATGTTGCCCCTCCGTTAATCATAAAACAGGGTCACAGGTCAGTGTTCACCACTAGAAGACAAGAGGTCAGCCTTGAATGGATAATAGTAGATAATGAATTTTATATTCCTAAGCTTCTGATTTCTGAGATCTCAAGTCAATTTATTTTCAAAAGTGTGATAGAAAGCAATTCATGTTTATTAGTAAATGAACAAAAGTTTCATAGAACTATGCAATGCAAACTATTGTCTATTTTTTAAAAGAAGCCACAAAAAGAAAGTATACCCATATATTGTTTGTGGGTCTATACAAGCAAAGAAGCAATTCAGCTGTCACTTCTGAAGAATGGAATAAAGTGAGGAGACTTCACGTTTCATTTTATACATTCTGTGAAGTGTTTGGTTTAATAAGCAGGCATACACACAAATATATGTGTGCATATATAACATATATATATGTGTATGTGTGATATATATATACACACACCCCTCAGAGAGGGTTGTGAATAATAACATATATGAGGAGACAATAAGTATAAAGAAAACAGAGCTACAAATGGCCTCAGAAATATATCAAACCTACTAGTTTACAGCTGAGGAAACGGGCCCAGTGAGACCCTCTAAGTTGGTCTAGGCTTACAAGTCACATCCTCCTGGCTTGTGACCTAGAATCCCATTTCTAGTTGGGTAGAATCTTGGAGTGATTCTAGTCATCTGTAAGATGTGGCTGGTTAACTCCTAGATCAGTGTAAGAGCAGAGACCATTTGTTTCTCTGTGCACAAGCAGGTGGATTTTCAAGGCAAACACAGGGTTGGGATTATAATTAAGCGAAAGACTGTGTTTGCCAAACTCGTTCACAGCACTCTTGTGTGTGGAAGCAGGAAGATGTACACAGCTTTGTTACCCACATAATGATGAAAAGATACATAAGGTGAGATGTACTAGGGCTGCCTTAGGCAGCCTGACCCCTGGTGCCTTTGAAGATGTGGAGTAATTCAAAAAGAGTGCTGTCCCCTAAACCAAAGGGGCTCTTATGTTTTCACTAGCTATGTTCCATTCTGTGTCCTAACCTGTCCAGGACCTGAGTGCTTCCCAAATGTGTCTTGCCTAAAGTGATGAATGCCACAGCAGCAGAACTCAAGCCCCGGCTGATTCAAATCAGCTAGTGGAGCCCCCGGTTAAAGAGAAGTTTATAAAACACAAAACATAGTCTCCCTGCCTGTTTTTCAGATAGTAGAGCAAATACACATTTGATTCCCAATATCTGAAACTGTACGGCTCTGCCACCATCTCGTGCCGACAGGGAACGCTAGGAGAAGCATCAAGTGTGTAGAGGGCTTGGAAAGTCATAGTTAGGTGATGGCCGTGCTGTGAAGTATCCAGCCCTGTTGCATCTCCTCATCTGACAATGGGAGAACGCAAAGCACAAAAACACTCCAAAGGTTCATTTCTGTGACAAAGAAACTGCGTTGCTAGTATCAGCGGGTGTGGGGAAAGCATATAGAAAATGACCCAAAGTAATCAACATGAAACAAAGCATCTCAATAAATAGTTATTATGAAAAGAGAGTAAAAAATGACCAGGAATCTTAAACAACAACAACAACAACAACAAAAAAAACTGCCTAGAAATTCACAAATACAAGTGCTTAAGTTATTTCTCCCAGAACAAAACCTCCTAAGTGCCTCACACAGGTGAACAGTAACTGGCCATCTTCTGGAGCATTTTGCCACCTTCAGGAAAGCTATGAATGAGTATCCACGCTTACAGAGAGAAAAATGGTCTCTGTAACAGATCCATAAATTTTTCAGACACCACCAGGCTCTTCCTGGAGACACAGGCAAGCACACCCTCCCCTCTGCAGGTCCAGTACTATCATTAACCCAGCTTACTGGTGCAACCCAGATAGTTAAAGGGAATTCTTTTACTTACACAGTGACGAAGAAATCGCTACGATATCAGAAGCTGTGTGTGAGGCGGCAGCTGCCAAATAAGATGGATCTCCTCTGGGAGCACAGCTTTTATAGTCCTCTCATCAAAGTCTGGTGGATTTTTTTTTCAACATTTGCCCCTCGCTTTCCTGCCTTGGCCCAGTAGGGAGGTGTTTATTCAATAACTCTGATTGGCTCATAAACAGCCAATCCTTCTAATCAAACTCACATATTCCTTAGGGTCATAAAATGTTAAAGCTGAAAGAATGTCTTTAGATTAAATAGCCACTAATCCAGACCTTACATTTTATAGGAGAGGAAATTGAGGTACTGTGGATTATGAGACCACCCCCAAATTACACACTGAGGAAATGGATGAGCTCTGAATCCATCAAGAGCCTCTGGGAGAGTGCTAATGCTTCCCAAACACATGACTCTACTCAAGGTCATTTATTTATTTATTTATTTATTTATTGATTATTTATTTTTACTTCTCTGAGCCTTGATTTCCTCCTCTGTACAGTAGAATTTATAGTGTCTGTGTACAGCAGACATTTAAAAATTATCAATTCCATGTTATAATCTTATTACTATCTTCATGATTTTTAGTTACCAGTTACAACGTGTATTCTAAAAGTTATAGTTAAGTACG